GGCACTCACACAAGGGAGCACACATAAGTTGAGCCTGGCAGGAGAGAGGGTTATGCCAGCATAGACATGTGGCCCAAGAGCCGCGAGCAAAGAAAACGTACACTCCAGAGGAGGGCGCGCAGCATAAGGTAAGGCAGAAGGGCGGCAAACGGACACACCCACATAGACAGGGGAAATAGGGGTCATCATGCGACTGGAGGGTAAGGATACAGGGGGATGATGAAAACTCTGTAGCCGAGGAAGTGAAGTAGTCCAACTGACGAGTCTCTAGACTGAAGTCGAATCGAAGTAGCCAGGATGAAGTAGGAGTAATGCAGAAACCAAGTGGACGTTCGGAACAACGCGACATGTACTCTGGTACTGAACAGAAGCACCGAGGTCGAAAGTCGAATGTAGAAGTCGAATGTAGAAGCCGAAACCGGAAGCTGCTGCGTAGTGTCCAGGAATGGTAAGAGATAGAGGGCATATGGGGGGTAAGGTCAGTCACGATATCGAGAAGGAAGTCGATGGGTACGCTGAGGGCGAGGGGACTCAACTGCAACAACAGGCGGAACCACATCCACAAGAGAAGGAGGACCTGAGGCAGGTACCGGTGGAGCAGGAGGACCCATCGGTGAAGGTGGGGGGTTGTTAGTGGTCGCTGAAGTAGATGGGTCAGTAGAAGGGCGAGAAGTGGGGGGGGATGATGATGAAGGGAAAGGGTGAGCACGGTCGTAAGCACGCACAAAAGTCATAGCATGCTTCAGGTGCTCAAGAGGCTCCCACGTAGACTCCTCGTCAGGGTAACCCTTCCATCGAACGAGATACTTGAGGCGGGAAGGATCACCATCAGTCATACGCCGAGACGCAATATCAGAGACGACAAACTCCTCGTGACCTTCAATGATGATGGGAGAAGGGCGAGGGTAAGGTCGACCGTGAAACTCAGGAGGAGACCGTCTGAAAGGGCGCAAAAGAGATACATGAAACACATCATGTAGGTTAACGCGATACATGGAATCGGGGAGCTTCAATTTGAAGCTCACTGGACAATCATGATTGGGTCCGGCGGGTGCGAGAATGCTACATGGTCCGATATATCGTCGTCTGAATTTCCGAAGCGTGTCGGCTTCGGGCTGGAAGTGACGTGCGTCGACAAGGACCTCATCACCAACTTTGAAGGGATGGTCAATGCGTGAACGGTTGGCGCGGGTCGCCATGCGAGTCTGGGAGTGAGCAATGCTCTCTCGAACCTTGCTAAGGAGCGCATCCATCTCCTTTCCCCACTCATCGAGAGCTGGGCATTTGGTGTCAGGGTGAATTTGGGATGGACGGAGGAGATCGGATGGGACAAGGGGGTGATATCCCAGGTCACAGTAGTAGGGGGACATGCCAGTGGCGGGAGAGATAGCGTGGTTATAAGCGATCTCAGCATGAGCAAGATGAAGATCCCAATCAGAGTCATTCTCAACAAACTTCTTGAGGATAGTCCCAAGAGTTTTGTTGGTGACCTCAGTCTGTCCGTCTAATTGGGGGTGGTAGGAGGAGGAAAGGCGAAGCTCGGATCCATAAGTTTCATGAAGTCCACGCCAGAAATGAGAAGTGAAGCGGGGATCGCGATCAGAGACAATGCTAGTGGGGAGACCATGATGAATGGCAATACGGTTAAAGTACAG